GCACAATCTTGAAATTGGTTGAGAGTTCTAGAGTTGATTCACCAGCCAATTATCAGTGTGAACTCTTTGGGTTTTATAACAGCATGGATTCAAACAGGCCTCTTACATACTCTGATCTATGTTGCCACCCTTTTTGATAGATTATCTCTTATCCCCAAAATCTCAGCAATATTGAGGTTATTCTCAGGCCTAAGGACCTGTCACTCCACCTCACGTGAATTGCACAATGCTTTATAAAGCTTTATTATTTAGGAAAAGGATCTTGAAGTTATTTACAAGCTTAAAACAGACAAATATAGGTAAGATTATAACTTATTTTGTATAGAATTACAAAGATAATAAATGACGGAGGAGGCTGCACCATGCTCCAGCTGATGGGGCCACTTTCCCTCTGCTCCAGCCCATGTGGAGCATCATGCACCCTGGTTGAGCGCCATGGCCAGCTGGCCAGGCAGCTGCTCCTCTTTGCTTTGGCCCAGCTGCCCTGTGCTCAGCCCAGGAAGGCTGTGCTGCTCTCCTGCTGGCTGGGAAGCCCTTCCTCTTTGCTCCAGCCCAGCTGGAGCAAAGCACAGCCTCCCTGGGCTGAGCGCAGTGCAGCTGGGCTGTAGCCAAGAGGAGCGGCTGGCCGGCCCTGTGGTGTTCAGCCCTGGTGCACCATGCTACACGTGGGCTTGAGCAGAGGGGAAGCTGCCTGTTCAGCTGGCCACGATGTTCAGCAGAAGCAGAGGTTGTGCCGTGCTCCAGCTGATCGGGCAGCTTTTCCTCTGCTCCAGCCCAGGTAGAGCATAGTACACCATGGCCAGGTGGCCAGGCAGCTGCTCCTCTTTGCTCCTGTGGTGTTCAGCCCTGGTGCACCATGCTACACGTGGGCTTGAGCAGAGGGGAAGCTGCCTGTTCAGCTGGCCACGATGTTCAGCAGAAGCAGAGGTTGTGCCGTGCTCCAGCTGATCGGGCAGCTTTTCCTCTGCTCCAGCCCAGGTAGAGCATAGTACACCATGGCCAGGTGGCCAGGCAGCTGCTCCTCTTTGCTCCAGCCCAGCTGCCCTGCACTTAGCCCAGGGAGGCTGTGCCTCACTCCAGCTGGGCCGGAGGAAAGAGGAAGGGCCTCCAGATCAGCAGGAGCGTGGTGCAGCCTCCCCAGGCTGAGTGCAGGGCAGCTGGGCTGGAGCAAAGAGGAGGGCTGCCTGGCCAGCTGGCCATGGTGTTCAGCCCTGGTGCATCCGTTTTTGTGGGAGGGGAGAGTTGGCCCCAGAGGCGCCGCCTGTTAGGGCTTCCCTGCTCTGTGGAGGGAGGGGGGAGGAGTCCTGGGAGGAGGCAGGTGCAGGGACTCCCACTGGCACCCTGCCACCTGCTGCAGAACCCTGCTCCCACTCCAGAATCCTGTCCCTTGCCCCCACTGCCACCCTACCCCAGCACCCACTAAAACCCTTTCCCAGTACCACGTTCCCTGCTCCCACCAGCACAGTTGGGGCCACACTAGTCAGACTTGGGGGTTTTGGGAGGAGGGTTTGTGATTGTGTGTGTGTGTGTGTGTGTGTGTGTGTGTGGTTTTTGCATCTCCCTTGCGTGACCCCAATTGACTTTTCTGTGGGTCAGTGACCCCCTAACTCAAAACAAGTTGCCTGCCCTTCTCATAAATAAAGACAATGCAGAAACTTTTTGTATTTGACATAGTATTTTATTTAAAAATGAAGCCTGGCCAACAAACCCCCATTTGGGGCTAAGCCCCTATCTGGCTACAACATTATAACACTCCTGCACCCCCCGCCCCCAAACCCTAGAACTGAGCCTATCATACACTGGAACCCCCTGCCCTGAGCCCCTCACATAGCCCAACCCAAATTCCTGCACCCTCACATCCACAAGCCTGTGGCTTTCTTAGTACCCCCACCCCCCCCTTTCCCCCCCCCGAACCAACGTCCCCTTCTCCACCTCCTCCTGTATCCAAATTTCCTCCCAGAGCTTGCGCCTCTCACCACACCCAAATCCCTCATTCCCACCCCAGAGACCACACATCTTGTCTCATCCCAGTGAGGGTACGGCTAGACTACAGGAGTTTTTCCAGGTTTCTAGAGATCCTGGGATGCGTTTGTTCTTCCGTATTTTTTAGTGGAAAAGCAAATATGCTCTTTCGGTAACCCCTGTATGTTCCACGAGGAATGAAGGGACTGCCAAAAGAAGGGGTTTTTCTGACAATTGGTCCAGTCTAGGTAGGCTAAATGTTGGAAAAACCTCTTCCTACAGAAGAATCGGAAGAAAAAAGTGGCAGTGTAGAGTGTATAAGGGGCTAGGGATAGCAAGTGATGGAGAGGAGGAGAATAGAGAGGGCGGGGCTTCAAGGAAGGGGTGGGGCAGTAGATCTTCACTTGTTCTGAGATTTAAAAAGTGATCTTGAGTGTAAAAAGGTTGGCGACCACTGACAGAGAGAGACCTAATTTCTTTTAATGTGTGATTTTTATCTTCCTGATGCCATGTGAGCTGCAAACTCAGCAGATGGGAGTGATCCACTTGCATGACTCATGTTCACAGGCCAGGGAGATGGATGGAGATAGCAGAGCAACATATATCTTTTGTCGTCTTTTACAACTCACAATAGTCCATCTGATGTCAATGGACCTTTCCTATTGAGAAGGGTATAATGTTTTCTGTGGAAGATAAGCCTTTCACACTGATTAATCTCTCTTTTCCCTGTCTGGTGATGTGGTCACACAGGCTCACAATGTTAACTGCTCAGATATTACCTTACAGTTTATAAGTGAGACTATTTCATACAGCAACTCACAAGCATTCAATAAAGTTTAAACATTGAACACTCTTGTAATTTTAATACCTATTTTAATAGTACTGACACATAGGTGAGCCAGATTGATTCCAGCTGTGAATTTGTCAGGGTTCAGTTGAGACATGGGGACTTTGGCATGTGGTCTCCCAAGGTCACAGCTTGCACTTTCTTAGTTCTTATAGTGATATCATTTCACAAGTTTTCTAGTCCTCAGAATTTTCTGGACTACCTACTGAATTTCTAATGCGCTTATCACAAAAAACAACCAAACACCACATCTTTGAATCCTACCTATCCATCATAAAGAAGAAGAAAGGAGCATAAGACTATTTTTGCTTTTTAATATAGATCATTGCTGTATCTGTATGGAAACAATAACAGCAGTGTGTAGAGCAAATGTTATAGGACTATAAGGCAAAATGAAAACTAAATGGCACCATTCTGATTTCTTTTATTGTACAGGGTGAATACCAAATTGAAAATAAAAGGCCTACTTCTCTACTACCTCACACAGGCATTTACACATTACAAAATTATGATAAAAGATTAGTTTTCTGGTTGTGTAACATCACACCTGCTGTGCACTAATGTATACAGGCAGTCCCCGGGTTACATCCCTACTTACAAACAGGGTGAGGCAACCCCACACTAGCTGCTTCCCCCCAGCAGACCAGGGAGACGCGAAGCTAGTAGGCCCCCACCCCCCCAGCAGACCAGGGAGACGCAGAGTGGCTTTTCTTAGCAGACACCTCAGCTTGAGAATAAAGGACTGAGGGAAGTGAGGTGTGGGAGAATAAAACTGAGCTCTGGAGAAATGTTTGGCTAGAGTTTCCCCTACAATATGTACCAGTTCCGACCTACATACAAATTCAACTTAAGAACAAACCTACAGTCCCTATCTTGTACGTAACCCGGGGACTGCCTGTAAACAGTATTGGTAAACTTAAGATACAAAATTCAAATGAGGTTGCCCAAATCATGATAAAACATAAATTTGACTTTTGTCTTCTGGATTTTTTTTTTTTAACCAAGGTGTTGATTTGGGTCATACTTTCAAGCTTTTCACTACAACTCTAAGGGCCAGGAGCTGTTTTTAATGAAAGATGAGATAATCACTGAACTTCAGAAGGAAACGCTAAGGGAATGTTTACACAGCAGTGCTAAAGTTGAATTAAGCTGTGCAACTTCAGTTACATCAATTGCATAGCTGAAGTAGGAATAGCTTAATTCGGCTACACAGCAGAAAGTCAAAGGAAGAACACTCTCATACCTCATAAAATGAGGGTTACCATGAGTCAGAGTAAGAAGTCCTCCATCTCGACATTATTTTGAAATAAAGGCTTGTAGTCTTGCTGCAGTGTCAATCTTCTCTGTAGTCACTTCTCTGGCCACTCTCGGCAGACAGGCTACTGGGCTAGATGGACCTTTGGTCTGACCCAGTACGGCCGTTCTTATATGTTATGTTCTTATGTAGTCTAGTTGTGGCTGTAGTTATTTTATGCCTTACTTTGGCATTGGCTGTAATATAGAAATATGTGTTCTTGAATAACAGCAAGGTATGTCTCCAATATTTCATGTACTTTTTAATTTAAAGGATCTATTCAAGGGACCTATTTTTTAAAATAGGCTTTTAAAAATTGTTGTTCTCCATCTCCACCCATTGAAAGCTTGCAGCTGAAATCTTTCCATACCAAAATATCTATCCCCTGCCATTGTATATTTAGCCATCTGTTTTTTTGAATGAGTGCTCTGTGAATTGGATTTCTTTTAAAGGAAAAATGAGTGTTGAGCTTCCATTCCCCAAACCAAATGCAGCAAAATATTTGACTGATTTAAAGGTGCTAGCATTTAAACTTGGTGGTAAATGTATTTTGGATTTGAGAATCCCATAATCCTCAGTTGTTGTTTAAACCAAGGTAACATTATTTGATTTTTTTTTAATTTATATAAGATCATACAATCTGGCAGACCTATAAGATGTAGCTGGTAATGCCACAAAAAACTTTTTTAAAATTTTCCTTTATTGTTTGCTGATTTCCGGTTGGGGATTTCTGTTTTTACAGAAGTCTTAGAGCAATAGTTTTCAGCCTAGAGTCTGGACACCTTGGATTTGTAGAATGATGGTTTATGGATCTTCTGCCATTTGGGAAGCAACTCAGGCTATGTACACACTACAGCTTGTGATGGTTTAAGTTATGTCATTCAGGGATATGAATAGCAACCCTCTACGTGACGTAAGTTACACCAACCTAAGCACTTGTCTAGACAGCACTATGTTGGCAGGAGAAATTCTCCCATTGACCTACATACTACTGCTCAGGGGCAGCACTGCATTGGTGCAACTGCCCCACTCTAAGCTCTGTAGTGTACCCATAGCCTGAGTCTTCAAGCAGCAATGTTCCCTACTGTGTGCCAGACTAGGGCACTTTGGATTTTCAGTGGGCTTTTACCTAACTAAATAAAAAGTATCTTTTTAACTCATGTTTTTGTTAGGTTGCATGAGAGTGCGAAATCAATTGATCAGGTTTTTAGAAGACATCAGTGTTGGGAATATAGCTAACAGGAGGACACAATCAAACTGCAATGAGGTCTGGAGAGATTTGATTGGTGACGCGGGTGTTTGTTGTAGTCAGTGGGGGTATTTGGGTCAGATATTAAAATGTGCCTCCCAAGTGGAAGAAGTGAACAGGACTGACATAAAATCATGAAGTGGAAATTAATATAATTCCCTTCAAATACGTTTTTTTCCTTGTTTTTTTTGATAAACTTCTAAATATTCTTTCATGTAACCGAACGCTTTATTTGCCATGGTTGTCATTGGAATTTTAAGGTTTGGGGGAAGGATATATCCCTAAAAAGGGTTTCTCAATAAGTAACCCACACTCTAAAAGCATGAAAACTATTTATCTGGAACCATGATACTTGATTATGTAATGTTAGATATTTATAATTTTAATAGAATCCAAAAATACAGGAAGGGCATTTTAATACGGACTTGAAATCTCTGTGGATGAAATGTTGCTTTTTTGTGTGTGTGTTGGTTTAGCCTCTTTGCTGTCTTTTTTTGTTTGTTTCAGCTGTATGTAGCCACTGAAGCAATCCTCATTGCACTAGTAGGGGCGACACCTCCCTACCACTGGGACCTTGAAGAGCTTTCAGCTAATCAAAGCCATAGCAACCAGTCCACTCTTGAAGAGAGAGCCTTCGGGGAATGGCTGCTGACAGCCAATGGGAGTGAAGTTCATAAACATGTGCACTTCAGCAACAGCTTCACATCTATAGCTTCTGAGGTAATAAATAATGAAATGGGTATCACGGCCATTATGAGATTAATACATCTCATGGGGTGGAAGTGGGAGGAGTAGAGGGACTGGTTGTACAACTTTCTTGTCTTAATTTCCAAATCAATGAGTGTTTTGATTTAACAAAGAAGTAGGTGTTGTTCTCTAGTTGGTCTACAAGTTGTCTGTTCAAATGTACAACAAGCCAGTCTTGTTCTATAGACCTTGATCATTGGGTCTGCTCCAAAACTTTAGTTGCTTTTCATATGGGAATTGTGCTTCACACTGTTGCATGTTTATAGAAATGGATTGGAACTGAGAAATAACATTAATGCCATTTGATCCTCAGAACTGTTTGATAGCTCTGTTCTTCCTGTGTAATTTTTCTCATTCTCATGATGGGGCTTTAATTCATAGTGCTATGCTTAAAAGTATGCCAGGCAGCCTGCATGCATGCAGCATGAGAACCCATGAGGAAGCTGCTCTGCAGGAGCTGTTTGAGGTATTCCAGGGTGAGGCTTAGGGTTTATAGATATGGACTATAAGTTTTTGCAAGTATCCCTTCCATGGTTCCTATATAATTCTCCATATAAACTATTCCAGATTCAGTCTGCACTGGGGTAGGCCTTAGGTAGACATTAACACTAAATTAGGTTAGGTAGTTTCCCATTCTGAACACATTTACTATAAATAGAAGACCTGAATTTAGACTTGTGCAGGTTTGTCAACTCTTAGTGCTTACAAATATATGATCAATATCCAGAGATATTAATTTAGCTTGGACTTTAAAAGCTCAAAGTTCATTGGTTACAAGCATGTTAATAAAAGTTGATAGTTTTCGCACACTCCTGACCAACTCCGTTCAGAGACACTTTCTGTGCTCCTCCATCCTGTAGTATAAGGGGGGAAAAATGAGTATTATGTTCCTGTCTCTTAAATGTAACATGCATAACTTAAGAAAATTGAAATTGGTTATAACAATATAAAATCTTCTGTAGATACAACTTTTTCTTCTAATGTTAAACATCCTCTTAAGGTTAAAAACAAGTTGGTTCCTATATAATTCTCCATATAAACTATTCCAGATTCAGTCTGCACTGGGGTAGGCCTTAGGTAGACATTAACACTAAATTAGGTTAGGTAGTTTCCCATTCTGAACACATTTACTATAAATAGAAGACCTGAATTTAGACTTGTGCAGGTTTGTCAACTCTTAGTGCTTACAAATATATGATCAATATCCAGAGATATTAATTTAGCTTGGACTTTAAAAGCTCAAAGTTCATTGGTTACAAGCATGTTAATAAAAGTTGATAGTTTTCGCACACTCCTGACCAACTCCGTTCAGAGACACTTTCTGTGCTCCTCCATCCTGTAGTATAAGGGGGGAAAAATGAGTATTATGTTCCTGTCTCTTAAATGTAACATGCATAACTTAAGAAAATTGAAATTGGTTATAACAATATAAAATCTTCTGTAGATACAACTTTTTCTTCTAATGTTAAACATCCTCTTAAGGTTAAAAACAAGTACAGGTTGAACCTCTGTGGTTTGGGACTCTCTGGTCCAACATCTGTTGCTGGATCATAGAGCCCCAGCAGCAGAGGTTGCCGGTGACTGGGAGTGGAGACGGTCAATGGGGCAGCAGAGTCCCAGGCCGCTGGAGCTTGCAGGGCAGCAGACCCCACAGCTGCTGGGGCTCCGAGGCCAGCAAAGCTGCCAGTGCTCAGGGCTGGCCTTTTCCTAGAGGCGAAGGGGGGGCGCCACTAGGACCCAGGGTGTAGAAAATTGTGTCTGCTGCTGGTGCGTACGTAGGTAGCAGAGCATTACTATGAGAGGAGTAGAACAGGAAGAAGGCAGAATTGAGACCTTTCGAAGTTTTGGCCCAAGCGACGGAGCATGGGGGCGTCATTTGAGCTCCCCACCTCAGGTGCCAAAATGTTGTGGGCCGGCACTGACAGAACTCATGGGGCCACGAGGCTGGGTGATTGGGGGGAGGAGCACAGTGGGAAGGCTGGTCTCCACCCTCCCGGACCTCTCATGGTCTAGCAAACTCCCTTCCCCGGGATTGGTCAGATCCTGAGGATGGACATCATGAAGTTGGAATGGAGATATTCTCAGACTTCAGTGTGGGATGCATAGTTGTCCTATTGCATGGAAGGTTCTGCTTTAGTGGATTTTAAAGTTGTATGGCAGCTAAAAGGTATTAGTTATTTTTCTTTTTAAGTCCTGTTCAGTTGGACTCCTAATAACTGTTGTGCCTGGCTTTACAGGTGGAAAGAATAGTCCCATTAAAATACTGTCTCATATAAAAAAGCTTCTTAATGTTTTTCTGTTAAATGTATTATAATAATTCATGATGGAGTGGTCTAAAAGTTTTATTTGTGCTATTTGGGATGACCTGCGCAGCTCTTATGTCTTTTCAACTCTTAAGTAAAATTTGTGGCCATCAACAATTCATGTTGAAACAAATCGAATAACTAACAGACTAAGTATTATTTCATGAATGGATGTGATGGCTCTTATACCGGTGGGAGGGAGTAATATGTTTTGACTATATTAAAGCAAAGTTCTTCTAACTGTTTGGGTGAACTTAAAGAGCAAATTGCTGTCTGCTCTACCTAATTTTTTTTCCTGATCTGTGACTGATTCAGAAAGCATCAAGTATCACTTAGACCAGTGGTCCCCAACCTTTTTAGGTTGTCGGGCGCCAGGGGGCGTGGCCGTTTGCCCGCCGGGCGCCAGGGGGCGGGGCCCCACCTAGCCGCGCGCCCGGGGGCCCTCTAGGGATGGAGACTCCCCCCTCCCCCTTCCGCCAAGTGCCGCGTGCCTGATGCTCCCCCCACCAAGCGCACTCTCCCCGCAAGTGCCCGTGCGCCATGTGCCCGGGGCCAGGCCAGCCCCGAGCACCTGGCGGGCGCATTGAAATGCCCCCGTGGGCGCCATGGCGCCCGCGGGCACCGTGTTGGGGACCACGGACTTAGACACACGATTATCAGGCTCAATTAACATTCATATAAAAATTACAGAATTATTCTTGTAATCATGCAGAAAGAAAACTGATTAGATAATTCAAATTACACACGCACACACACACACACACATATATATGTATATGTATGTATGTATATATGTATGTATGTATATAAACAAACACGTTATTGGAGTTCTGTTCTCTAGTAGTTTCTGCATACAGTAGAAAAACATTTGAAAAGTGCATGGCAATACAGGCAGTCCCCGGGTTACGTACAAGATGGGGACTGTAGGTTTGTTCTTAAGTTGAATTTGTACGTAAGTCGGAACTGGTACATATTGTACCCCAGGTGTCCCCGATTCAGCCACTGCTGAAACTGACCAGCAGCTGACTACAGGAAGCCCGAGGCAGAGCTGCTTTGCCCCCGGCTTCCTGGGATCAGCC